CCAAACTCCGGCACGCCAAAAGCTTCAAGAAAGACAAGAACAAGAACAACCTCTCGGAGCGCCACATGACTCCTGATGAGCGAGCAGCCTTCAAAGCTGCAAAGGTCAAAGAGTTGCAATCCTTCTTTGACAACCACGTCTGGCAGTTCGAGACCACCAGAGAAGCTGAGCCCAGTCGGACGCTGACCAGTCGCATGCTGCTGAAGTGGTCAAAGAATCCTGATGGCAGCCCCCGCGCCAAAGCCAGGCTCATTGTCAGAGGCTTCATGGACCCAGACGCTTGGGAAGGAACTGTTCCAACCTCATCGCCCACAACCACGAGGCTGTCGAGATCCATGTTGTTGAGTTTGGCCTCCACCATGCAGTGGCCAATCTGGACTTCAGACATAGCAACCGCCTTCCTGCAGGGTCGACCTCAGACACGCAAGTTGTGGGTGCAGCTTCCTCAAGAGTGTTTGCAGTTGCTTGGAGCTACAGCTGACACCCGTATGTTGCTTCTCAAGCCCTGCTACGGCCAGATCGATGCCCCGAGATCTTGGTTCATGGCTGCAGTTGATAAGCTGAGCGCTATGGGCCTCCGACAGCATCCTCAAGACCCTTGCTGCTTCTTGATCTATGAAGGTGACCTCAACCCTGAGTATGACACCACAGCTGAGCACTCCAACCTGCTTGGACCTCATGGCCTATGTGGTATGGTCATCATGCACGTCGATGACATGCTTGGTTGCGGTTCGCCATCCTCCCAGTGCTACAACGACACCATCACCAAGCTGAAGAGCACCTTCAACTTCCGTGAATGGAAAACTGGTGATGATGGAAAGCCCTTGACCTATTGTGGTTGTGACATTCAAGTCAAGGATGATGGTCTCCTCCTCAACCAGACCAGCTACATGGGAAAGGTGAAACCGATCACCTACGACAAGAAGCGCAGCCTCACCGATGCGCTCAATCAGCGTGAGTTGACACAGCTGAGAGGACTTCTTGGTTCACTTCAATGGCCCGCAGTTCAAAGCAGTCCTCACTTGCAGAGCAGCACCTCGATCCTGAGCGGTCATGTCACCAAGGCCACGCTTCAGACAGTGGCCGACACAAATCGCCTGCTGCGTTTTGCAAAAGAAAATGCTGATGTTGGCCTACAGTACAGCCACCTGGGCGAAGTTTCAGAACTTTGTTTGGTATGTTTTTTTGATGCTGCCTTTGCCACCCGCAGTGACGGAGCCTCACAAGCTGGCTATGTGATCCTGATGGTCAACAAAGCTTTGCTTCAGGCCAATGGTCCCGAAGGAGCCTACCACGTGTTGGATTGGCGCAGTTTGAAAACGCCAAGAGTTGCACGCTCTTCCTTGGGCGCCGAAGCACAAAGCGGTGGTCAAGCTTGCGATGCCTTGGAGCATGCCAGCATCTACTGGAGCCTGTTGGTTGACCCTCGCCAGCGACTCCAAGAGCTCTTGGACGTTCCATCCTTGTTGTCGCCCACCATGATCACGGACGCCAAAGCCCTTTACGACTCCTATCACCGAGAAGGAGTCGGAAGCTCTGTGGTTGACAAGCGAGTTTCGCTTGAGATCCGTGTGATGAAGGATCGCCTGTCTTCACTGGGCGGTTCTTTGAGGTGGATGTCATCGGAGCGCCAACTGGCTGACGGTTTGACAAAAGAGTCGGCCAGAGCACTTCTTGCACAACGGCTACGTCACGGTCGTTTGAAGCTTGTTTGGGACCCCTCATACAAAGCTGCCAAGAAGAAGACAAAAGCTGAGCTCCAACAGAGTCTTGCTGAAAGCATCCATGTGGTACCACCACATGTGATCAATGAGGAACCCGAAAGCATCCATGTGGTACCACCACATGTGATCAATGAGGAACCTGAAAGCATCCATGTGGTACCACCACATGTGATCAATGAGGAACCCAACCTCCACGAGGAGCACCAGCAGCCCATCGACGAGAATCCTGCGGAGAATGACGTGAATGTCGATGAGCAGGTGTTTTGGAATGAAGAGATTTTTCGGAATTCCAAGGTTCCTGTGAATGTCATGTTTGTCAGGACCGACCGGAAGCTTGAGTATGTCTCCGACAGTCCGAGCCATGTCGGAAGCCGCCCGCTCGAGTCCTACCGCGGTCGTAAGACGAATTTCATGTTTTGGTTTTTGCTTTTGTTCATGGCCCCGCAGCTGGTCACGGCCGATTCGGCCAATGTGGAACCTGAAGCTGGAATGGATTGGTTTGGAACTGTTTTGTGCACCCTCCTTCTACTTTTTTTGAGCACAGCCTTCATGGTTGGTCGATGGAGCCATGATGCACACCACCAAGTACCACCCCAGGTCACTGAGGCTGCAGTCCAAAAGGATGAAGCGATCATCCCAGCTCGCCTTAGAGAAGAAGTCAAACGCCTGAAGCAGGAAGTCCTGCGCTGGAGTTCCAAAGCCGAGGAGTCCCGCCTTGCTGCTGTCGAAGCCACGACAGCGATGAATCTGGTTCTGAGAAACCAGAATGCTGCTGAGACCCTTGCACAGGAAGCCTCCCAGATCCTGAAGATCGCCCTGAGGCAGATGGATGAGCATGGAAATGAATGCCCCTTCTACAATGGCATGATCATCAGCCGGCATGGCGCCAGATGGCACACGACCTTGAACTGTTCAAGCCTGGCCGGAAGAGATGAAAGCCTGCAGCGGCGAGTAGATTTCTGCCGCCTTTGTAGTTTGAGGGTGATTCCACCTGACCTTGTCGATGATCGGTCAGGCTCATCTGTGCGGACCTTGGTCTACCAATGGCTGGACCGGTTCGAACAGCGGAACTGGGGTGATGACGAAGGACTCTCCCCCATGTAAAGTTCACGCTGTGCACTTGTGTTTCGGCAGTTCGAACTGTTTTCGACCTTCACTTACCGTCGTTCCCTCTCAAGACTGGGAGGGCAGTTGCCTTGCAAAAGGCGCGGCCGCGGCGCTTCAGTGCGCCCTCTTGTTTTCGTGTTTGCGGACTTCGGGTGCCGCTGCTACCTTTTTCGCACATTATATTAAATCATTTTTCCTATCTCTTCCTGGCTTTCTGGCCTCTTTTTTAGAACAGCAGCAGCTTTAGTTTTTAAAAGCCAAGTTTCCGCTCAAATCTTCCTGTGTGTCACAAAAGGGTGAGTCAAGTTGAAATGGCAACATCCTTCTCTAAATTTTATCCCTGCGTGGCCACAAAAGGGTGAGTCAAGTTGAAATGGCAACATCCGGGTGGCTCACCAAAGGGTGAGTCAAATTGAAGTGGCAACATCCTTCTCTAAATTTTACCCCTGCATGGCCCACAAAAGGGTCAGTCAAGTTGAAATGGCAACATCCTTCTCTAAATTTTACCCCTGCATCACAAAAGGGTGAGTGAACTTGGCATAGCCACTCCCCTCTCTAAATTTTACCCCTGCATGGCCCACAAAAGGGTGAGTCAAGTTGGACTGGCCACTTCCCTCTCTAAATTTTACCCTGCCCACGAAAGGGTGAGTCAAGTTGAAATGGCAACATCCTTCTCTAAATTTTACCCCTGCATGGCCCACAAAAGGGTGAGTCAACTTGGCATGGCCACTTCCCTGTCTAAATTTTAGCCCTGCGTTGCCCACAAAAGGGTGAGTCAAGTTGGGGTGGCGAGTGAATGAGTGAGTAAGTCATGTCACTGAGTCAGTGACGAGTGTCTGAGAACGAAAGTGAGGGAACGAGTGATTCGGTCAGCAATCAAAGGAGTGAGTGAGTGAGTGAGTGAGTGGGTGAGTGAGTGAGTGAGTGAGTGAGTGGGTGAGTGGGTGAGTGGGTGAGTGGGTGAGTGGGTGAGTGGGTGAGTGGGTGAGTGGGTGAGTGGGTGAGTGGGTGAGTGAGTGAGTGAGTGAGTGAGGGCGTGAGTGCGTGAGTGCGTGAGTGCGTGAGTGAGAGTGAGTGAGAGTGAGTGAGAGTGAGTGAGAGTGAGTGAGGGTGAGTGAGAGTGAGTGAGAGTGAGTGAGAGTGAGTGAGAGTGAGTGAGAGTGAGTGAGAGTGAGTGAGAGTGAGAGCGAGAGTGAGTTTGAAGCAGCGCTTCCCCGTGTACAGACGAGGTATATCATTCGCGTGTACAGATGAGTCACTTTTCGCGTGTACAGACGAGGCGCCGGCCTCCTACCTGGATCCCTTCTTTTCTTCCTTCCCTTCCCTTCCCTTCGACGAGGTGACCAGGGACCAAGGCGACCAGGGGACCAAGGGGACCAGAGGACCAAGGGGACCAGGGGACCAAGGGGACCAGGGGACCAAGGGGACCAGGGGACCAAGGGGACCAGGACGACCATGTGGACCAGGAGCAAGCATACAAGAGACGGGAAAGGAAAATAGTTATTTTTTGATTAGTTAATTAATTTGTTTTTGATTACGTAAATAACTTTTTTTTGATTCAGTAATTAATTTCTTTTTGATACACATGCCGCTACTAGGGGCTCCTGGCCGTACTACTAGGAGCAAGGACGCTACTAGGGGCTCCTGGCCGTACTACTGGGAGCAAGGACGCTACTAGGGGCTCCTGGCCGTACTACTAGGAGCAAGGACGCTACTAGAAACAACGGAAGGTTTGGGATTCCCGGATCTTTGCAGCTTAACATCTTGAGAACGCTAAGCATTTCGGTGGCACTGTTTTTCACTACCTATAGGAACTCCTTCTGCCATCGCTACTAGGGTTGAGGCCATCACTTAAGTTTCCCTAAAAATCTAGGAACCAAATCATTCGTGCGAGCGCTTCTTCAAAGAAGTTTTCGCGGGGAGCTTCCTTGAAGAAGCGTGAGCTATCCTGCGTCCTGTCAGTAGTAGCTTACTTGTAGCTACTAGCTACCTCTTCTAGGGGTTTCCTAGCAGCCTACCCCCCTGGCTGAAAAAAAAGAAAAAACAACACTAAACAGTTGTTACACTAGTAACAAGAAGCTACTAGGGGCTCCTGGCCGTACTACTAGGTTAAAAAAAGAACAAACACACTCAACAAACCAAAAAAGAGATGTTTGGCGAGTGCGATGCCTTCGCCACTTTTCGGCGGTCCAGTTCGGCTTCCAATCGAAACCTTTCCTGGGCCTCACGTTCTCCAACTTCGCACGACGCTTCGGAGAGGATTCAGAGGTTTTGGTCTTTCTTTATAAATTATAGTAGCTTACATTGTTACTACTAGTAAGGCACTTGTTACTAGTAGCGATGCACTTGTTACTGAATGCATACCATTTGTCTGTGAAAGAAACTGCATGGGCTAACAATTAGCGCCTCTGCAAGGGCTCTCTTGCGCGTTTCGGAGCACACCTTGGATCCCCAGGAAGGATACTTTACACCACACAAGGTAGTACGCAAAGAACAAGAAAACGATGGATTTGAGCCACCGGCGTTCCGCTGAAAAGCTCGTACACCACATTTAAGTCCTGTGCTCACGAACGTGAATATGGGTCAGCCAAAAAGCTGCATGAACTTGAGAAAAGCTGCAGAAATCCTCGCTTCCGCAAGAACAGTGCGGAGAGGCGTAACAATACAGATTCCTGCGAACTGCATTGAACACAGCTTAAACTCATAAACAACACTATGGAACGTTCAAAGTGCCTAACTGTTCTCAACATATTTGGATCCAGAATCGACAGTGCCTTGCGGTCATGATGCCACTGTGCTACCCAAACCTGGAGGCAATATGAACCAAGTGTCAACAGGACAAAGCTGACACGAGTTGAATTCTTTCAGCCTGGAACACCATCAGCTGCAATCGCAAATTCAACGAACTTCTCACTTTTGCAGCAATGGCCTCATTGTGCTCTTCACGTGACACATGATCAAGCAAAATTGTTCTCCCAAGTACAACCTTTTGTGGGTAAGGCAAAAGCGAGAATGTTTATACGATTTTATATGTGCCCTGCATGGATCTGTGCTTGTGTCATGCTGTGTGACACATGTCTTCACTGGCTGCTGGCCGCTCTTGTTCACATGGCAAGAACATGGGGCTCACGATATCTCATGATGACATGCTTCTCAATGGTAGTGCATTGAAACATGCTAAAACCCAAAGACTTAACAAATACCAGCAACAATTCTGAGTGTCGAACTTCCAATTGTAGGACCTTGACCCAAGCATCCATGGCCCTTCAGGTTTGGCTTTGTTGGCAAAGCGTGAAAAGCAGCTGCCAACAATTCACAGCTTTTTTGATGAGAATGCAGGACACACAGAATAGCCTCCGGCAGATTCGATGCCAGCAAGCAACATCAAATTCTTGCAAACTCCGCCGGTGCCGAACCCACTTCGACCACCTTGCACAACAAATCACTAACAAGTTGCTAAGTTGGGCACCAGACTTTTGATTCCGGAACATTCGAAGCATGGTTTACTTGTCATTTGTTTCATAACTCCAGCCTCTGCTCCCAGAGTCGTATCGCGCGAGCCAGAGTCTGGTTACATCTCTGATGCGAGACCTCAACTCGTACTAAATTCTGGGCAAGCCTGGCTGAAACAAAACTTGGATTCCTGCACGCAGCTGGTGCTCACGCAAACATCGACATCTTGTGGCTGCTCCCTGCCAGCATCAGAGTACATAACAATTGTACGGCGTGCGTGTCTTTCTGGCGGCACTGATGCATGAATCTTGTTTAGATCTGATAGGACCATGGCCTTCCAAGCATCCATAGATCTGTGCTTCTCTCGCCGCTTTGCTTGCTCAAAAAGCATGCGGACGCTTTGCACCTGGGATGCGTCATGTTCGGCCCCCAGCACCGGGGGTTAAAAATCCTTTGCGGCAAAGGTTGCATGTGTGGCCCAGCGATTCCTTTGCATGTCGTATTCCACTTCACTCTGGCAGATACAAGGGGTCAGTGGCACTGCAACCACAGGCAAAAGAAGTGACCCGATCATGGTGGAATCATGTACCTACCCGGATTGGCGAAGTGGAGCAAATATGCCTTCTTTGAACAAGAGAGTGTTTCGAAAGAGAAACACGTTGTATCGCAGTGAAACATTGCATCGTCTTTTTTGTTCTCTTTCTGAACTGTTACTCCATCACTCTTGCTTCTAAATTCTAGAGGCAGAACGTCGTGAGTGCTCGTAAAGGGGTAGTTGAGGAAACCAACACATTTTCCCAAGAAGCTAAGCCGAACATGCATGCTACCCAGTGCTACCCGGGTCTTCCCCTAATGAAAAGGATCCCTAGTTGTTTACATCGGAATGAGGCAGTTTCCAAACCTGCCAACAGCAAAGCCAGGAAAAGTTTCACCAAAGTCCCGCTTGATAAGACATTGCCAGCCCTTTTTCTCAAATCATCAGTTGAAACAGCTTCTGGGATCGTTTCTTGAATCAGCTGTCATATGCCAGAAGCCTCGTGTGGAAAGAAACCTCTTTTTTTCGTCCACCCAAAGGCAATCCTTCACAAAACCCTAGACAAGGTTGTGTCTTTTTGCATTACGCACTGTACTATACAATCTGATTTCAGAATGAACACCTGCCTGATAAGCACCGAGGGAAAGTTTTGTGAAAAGACAGGGACCTTCGTTTCTCCTTTTTCTCCTTGATATTAGGAGGAACAAGAAGCTACCAGGGGCTCCTGGCCTTACTGCTAGGAGCAAGGACACTACTAGGGGCTCCTGGCCTTACTACTAGGAGCAAGGACGCTACTAGGGGCTCCTGGCCTTACTACTAGGAACAAGAAGCTACTAGGGGCTCCTGGCCTTACTACTAGGAGCAAGGACACTACTAGGGGCTCCTGGCCTTACTACTAGGAGCAAGGACACTACTAGGGGCTCCTGGCCTTACTACTAGGAGCAAGGACGCTACTAGGGGCTCCTGGCCTTACTACTAGGAACAAGAAGCTACTAGGGGCTCCTGGGTGGAGGCCATCGCTTCGTTTCACAAGTCTCAAAACCAGAAAAATTGGCGAAGCAGTGATGTTCCTGCTTGGAGCAACCTCGCAAGGCCGATATTTAGAGGAGGGATGACAGGGCCAAATTCAAAACAACATGGGTACGACGGTTGAAGCATAGTAGCAGGTCGAGATCAAAACATGAGGAGGTGAAAACAACCCCAACAACAGGTGTATGAATCAACTCATGTCCAAGTAAAGCGAGCAACATTTGAGATTTGGGTTGAGATGCAATTAGACAAGCAGAGTGGTGTGCGGTGAAATGAAATCTAATGAACTTTAATTCAAATAGCTTTTTCGTTACTACTAGTAAGGCACTTGTTACTACTAGCGTGGCACTTGTTACTACTAGCTTCCTAGTAGAGAGATACAAACAACAATGAATCCACCAAAACTGGAACCAAACAGGACTCGAAGGAGGGACAGCCCACGCATACTGCAAGTACTCCGCACCCCAAGAAGGGGGTGTATACATTACATACATATAGCACAAGGAACCTAATAGCGACGGCCTCCAACCTAATAGCGATGGCTATCCAACCCAAGAGCGATGGCCTCCAACCTAAGAACGATGGCCTCCAACCTAAGAACGATGGCCTCCAACCTAGAAGCGATGGCCTCCAACCTAGTAGGGATGGCCTCCAACCTAAGTGCAATGGCCTCCTCCAACCTAATTAATAGCATGGCCTCCACCATAGTAGCCATGGCCACCACCCTAGTAGCCATGGCCTCCAACCTAGTAGCAATGGCCTCCAACCCACTAGCTGCTGTGATCTGCTGTGCACGCAGCCTGCTCGCTTGCGTTCCTTTTCTCGCTATTTGGCGTCTGTTTGGCAAACAAATCTTTCAATCAATTGATTGGCTGGTTTCAGAGTTCCTTCAGAATCAAGAGGTAATAGCGCGTCTGTGCAAACGCTTAAGCCCATGCTCAGCCACTGGTTACAGTAACCCCGCTAAAATGTTACTACCATAGTTGGAACCAATCTGAGTGTCGGACTTCCAATTGCACAACCCTGATCCAAGCATCCATGGCCCTTCAGTTTTGGCTTTGTTGGCAAAGCGTGAAAAGCAGCTGCCAACAATTCACAGCGTTTTTGATGAGAATGCAGGACACACAGAATAGCCTCCGGCAGATTCGATGCCAGCAAGCAACATCAAATTCTTGCAAACTCCGCCGGTGCTGAACCCACTTCGACCACCTTGCACAACAAATCACTAACAAGTTGCTAAGTTGGGCACCAGACTTTTGACTCCGGAACATTTGAAGCATCGTTTACTTGTCATGTGTTTCATAACTCCAGCCTCTGTTCCCAGAGTCGTATCGCGCGAGCCAGAGTCTGGTTACATCTCTGATGCGAGACCTCAACTCGTACTAAATTCTGGGCAAGCCTGGCTGAAACAAAACTTGGATTCCTGCACGCAGCTGGTGCTCACGCAAACGTCGACATCTTGTGGCTGCTCCCTGCCAGCATCAGAGTACATAACAATTGTACGGCGTGCGTGTCTTTCTGGCGGCACTGATGCATGAATCTTGTTTAGATCTGATAGGACCCTGGCCTTCCAAGCATCCATAGATCTGTGCTTCTCTCGCCGCTTTGCTTGCTCAAAAAGCATGCGGATGCTTTGCACCTAGAGGTAACCAGATCTGCACAAAATCCTGGCTACTAGAATAGTGGAGCACCTCATGAACCCATGCAGCCATCATCTTTTTCAAGAGCGTGCTTGCGAAGATCATCAGGATGTCTTCTTGCATAACCTCACTTCCGCAGAAAGCGTGGCTATGCACACATCTGCTGCGTTGACCATGCAAGGGCGCCTTCATATGGTGCGGATGGACTTGAAAGGGAGCAGAGCCAAACAGGATCTCTGCTGCGGTCACTTGCTGCCTGTAGCACAGGAACCCTTGCGTTCCCACTCGGCTTTGCATCCTTTGCTTGGATTCTCTTGACTTTTCAAGGGCCCAGGCCATGGTGCGCCATCCCGCAGCTGAACCCCCGAAAGGTGCAAACGCGGCCTAAGTTGAAAGAGTAGCAACTTTGCAACTGTGGAGGAACTCCCAGCTTGATTCTGGCCTTGTGGGATGTGCTGCCGCATGAACACGCAGCCATCGCCACGATGCCAACATCTGGGGACCACTGCGCATAGCAATGACCTGACTGGCAAATCGATACAACAACACACTGATGCTATCACAAAGTCGCAAGTCTCGAGCAACTCCTCTCTTGCGATGCCATGCGAGCCAAACCTGGCAGGTGTTTCAAGGCGCTGTGCACAGTGAAACTTGAAAACAGAAAAGGATGCTGTGCCTGCCACACAGCTTCCAATCGAGTTCGAAGCCAGCGCGCACGATGCGCACCAGCCAGCTTTTGTGACCTGAATACACTTCCAACTTTCTTCAGCAAGCACACCGAATAGCAAAAGGTACCTAATAGCAATGGCCTCCAACCTAATTTATTACATGTCAACAAACACCTTGGAAAATTTCAACCATGTTTTCCATTGTTATGATGGCTGGACGTAACAATAATGGCTGTGCTGGGCGTCCAACGTCGTCCTGTGGTGCCAAAACTTGAGTGCCTCCGACAAGCGTCATCGTGTGGGTGTAGTGTAGTGAGGCGAGTGTAATATTTAAGGAGCAAACAAACATGAACGACGTCTACAAGGTCTAAAGAAAAAAGGAAGGACACACAAAAAAATACATAGGCACCTTCTGTGTCAGGGGTAACGAAGACAGAAATGAAAAGAGGAAGAACTAAGACTAACTAAGAACAGAAAGAACATAGATGAACATAGAACGGACAGCACTAAGGACAGCGACCTGTCGGGGTCAGCATGGACCTGTTGCTTCGTAGTCTAAAGAGCGGGAGTCCACGCTACGACCACTCGTTCCAGCCGGTCATCGTTGTCCGTTCCAAAAACGTTCTTCAGAATGAGAGAAAGGTCTGAAGAAAAAGGTAAAACAATGTTCCAAGGGTCAAAAGAAAGACATACGTAAGAAGAACCACTGAAAGAGAATTAGCAAGAAAAAACCAAAAGAGCAAAGAAATTATCAAGTCGACCTTCTTTGGGGATACCTCCAAGACCAAAACTGTGAGCATGAGTTGGTGCCTGCCGCCGATGCAAATCATGTAGATCCACTACTTTTGGAACGCGCAACTGGTGCGTCCACCACGTCAAGGCCTCAAAGAGTAGCGATGCCCTTGCTCCGTTCGTAGCGATGCCAGGAGCCCCTAGTAGCGTCCTTGCTCCTAGTAGATTCCTTTGCTAGTAATTACAATTCTAATTAAATTCTTATTGTTACTACTAGTAAGGCACTTGCTTCTAATAGCTTCCTTGTTTCTACTAGTAAGGCACTTGTTACTACTAGCGATGCCCTTGTTCCTAGTAGCGTTCTTGTATTTCTGCACGACTGCTTGTTTCTGCTTGACAAGTTCGTCTTCGGGATCCTTGCCCTCGCAAGTATCTTCCGATATGCAAAAGCTTCAGCCAGGATGGACCCAGATTGTAAAGATAGCCTCGAAACTCTAAACAGTAGCGAGTCATTAGTTGTTGGGAATGATTCACGATGAAAACCACATTGTTACATGCCAGATGCAAAGGCCTCTCTGGCAAATCTTCCTTTACTTCGCTGAAGTCGTCTTTGCTTGCCTCTTGGTGCCACCTTCAGTGGCTCAAAGAAGCCGAGCCGAACATATTTAGAACCCAACCGTAATAGCAAGGGCAGGGAATGGCCTCCACCCTCTCCACCCTAGTAGCAATGGCCTCCAACCTACTAGGAATGCTGTTTCACAATTTCCATTGCATGTTCGCGAGTGCCAAGCGCCGCACTTTAAAGGTTCCAAAGGTTCCAAAGGTTCCAAAGGCGCTCGATGGGCTCCACGGTCATGTTTGCGGTGCTCACTCTGTGGCACCGCGTGTGGCACGCTGCAAGGCACGCTGTGTGGCACCACGTCTGGCACCGCATGTGGCACCGCATGTGGCCGTGGTTGACGCCGTGGTGAGTGCCTTTCTTTCGCAGCGAGCGCTGCGCCGTGTCGGCCCCACCTGAGCCGCTGGTTTTTGTGGCGTGTTGGAAAGGTATATCCGAATTGAAAGGAAGGAAAAGGAAAGGCTGAAAAATCAGAAGTAATTACAGTAAATAGGCTGGCAATGCTACTAGGAACAAGAAGCTACTAGGGGCTCTTGGCCTTACTACTAGGAGCAAGGACGCTACTAGTGTGTCGATATTCTTGCTTCCCGACTGTAGCAAAGAGCGATAGATCTGAAGACCCAGGAAGTCCGTGGCCTCAAGACGTCGACGAAACAAACCAAAGCGATGCCCTTTGTTACGTTCGTAGCTTCTTGTTACTACTAGTAAGGCACTTGTTACTAGTAGCGATGCACTTGTTCCTAGTAGCGAACCTTGTTGCTAGTAGCAAGAATGCTTCTAGTAGTATGGCCAGGAGCCCCTAGTAGCGTCTTTGCTCCTAGTAGCGATGCCCTTTGTTACGTTCGTAGCTTCTTGTTACTACTAGTAAGGCACTTGTTACTAGTAGCGATGCACTTGTTCCTAGTAGCGAACCTTGTTACTAGTAGCAAGAATGCTTCTAGTAGTATGGCCAGGAGCCCCTAGTAGCGTCTTTGCTCCTAGTAGCGATGCCCTTTGTTGTTACGTTCGTTGCTTCTTATTACTAGTAGTGATGCCAGGAGTGCCCCTAGTAGCATCCTTGCTCCTTGTAGTAATGCCCTTGTTACTAGTAGCTTCTTGTTACTGCAACTGAAACGATTCCCAAGGATTCTTGTTCCTAGGATCTGAATCTGAATGTGAAAGAATTCCAGATCTGAATATGAAGTGAAAGAACTGAATTCATTTCGACGGATTTTTTCTCCGCTCATTTTGTCCCTTGAGTCTGGCAAGCTTTGGCACAGGCACCAATTGCTGCACCAAAGGTGAATTCTGTGAACTCTTGGCGACAGAAATCCAAAGCACATTGCCATTGGCTTGACTGACCAAGACAACCAATGACAGCTGTGCAAGAGATGTCATCTGTCTCGTCCTTCAAACGCCGCAATGAGATCTGGCGAAGCAAGTCAGAAGCTTGTTCCCATTTCTGAGGATGGCAAGCACTAATGGCCGCACTGAATGAAACGCCATTCAACTGTATACACTGTATCAACCGGGTGTTTACCAAAAGCTGCGATGCCCAAAACCATTTCTCACCAGCAAGTGCACTGATCGTTGCACTGCAAGTGAAAATGTCTGGCTCTGATCGGTAAGAGAGCATAAAGTCGAACAGAGCCGTTGCAATCTCCCATTCTCCGCAATTTTCACATGCGCTGATTGCAGCACTGCAACCTTGCAAAGGATGAACGTATCGGAAAACAAGAAGAGGGAACCAAGTACGTAAAACTGTGCATGCACATCACAAAACTGCTTCCTAACATCAAGAAAGCAAGAAAATGGAAGACAGCTAAGAAACGAAGAATCAAAGAACAGCGTACAAAAGGTCTTGAATACTAATAACAGAAAAAACAACAGGAAGAAAAGACAGGTCTATTAAGAAAAACACAGGGCCCAAGCTCGCATCACCTGCCGAGTGGTTAAACATATGATGCAAATTCATCCTATAAGTGGACCAATAGCCAACGTAGCCAGAAGCTCTTACATCTTCCAACACACCCATTTGCAAAGTATCAGCCAAAGCAATGAGCCTGCTTTGCATGTTTGCTGAAACAAAGTTTGCACTACAAACCTGTCGCAAACATTGGCACAGTCCAACAAGCTGATCCAGCCGCAAGTTCAGAAAAGTTAGCAACAAATCACAAAAGCACGCGTGCGTTGTTTCTATCACTGCCATGTTGCTCTTAGCATCAAAGCGCAGCCGCTGCGAAGTCTTGTGCAAGAGATGCGACGCAACTTGCCATTGGCAGCCCCTCTCACAGGCAACAACTGCTGCACCGTCTGCAGTGCAGTCTGCTGTGCAGTCTGCAGATCTCTCAAGAACAGCGAGAGAGTTTAGGGCCAAAGACCATTCACCGGACGTGCCAATTGCTGTGATGATCGAGCCATAGGCGATTCTATCTGCGATGCGCTTCCTTGCCATATCCGCAAACACACGCAGTGCGAAGCGCCATTGGAAGCCTTTGTCGCATGCAGCAATGATCGAACTGCACGTTACGGCGTTCGGAAGAAGGGCCAAGTCGAGCATGAGAAGAAGAGTTTGAAGAGCCTTTGCCCACGAGGTGGAACCCTTGAGACAGTTGATGGCAGCACTACAGCTGATGAGACTTGGAGGACAGAACCGCAACAGAGAGAGGTTCGTCCTCCAAGTCTCGGTCCGGTCTGAAAGGCCTGTGGCCAAACTCACGAAGAAACGCTCCTCATTCTTCGAGTCGTCTTCGAGTCGCTCTTTTCCTGTGCCAAGACGCTACGAACGGAGGTTCCTGGCCTTACTAGGAGCAAGGTTCGCTACTTAGTATGTCTTCCAAGCTTTATTCTACTGTAGAAGCGTGGAGGCCAATTCTAGGGCAAGGTTCGCTACTTAGTATGTCTTCCTAGTAAGGCACTTGTTACTACTAGTAAGGCACTTGTTACTACTAGTAAGGCCATGTAAACAGATGTCCTCTTCGTCCTCTTCGGACTCTCTCGGCCAAAAGTAAGGCTTGACACCAGGCGGACGAGGCCTCGGTGAAGAACTTCTTCACGACAGCAGCCAAGAGCTTCACACTCGGTTCGTCCGCCACCGCAACAGTAGCCACTTGTCTTTCTTGCTTGGTTCCTTTTTGGTTCTGTCTTCTATCCTCCTCACTTTCGCGTTGGCTCACGAAAGCATTCTTTAAGAGGACAAGTTCCCGTTGCCACAAAGTCGCTCCAGAAGTCGCTCCAGTCCCTCCCTCGCTTGCTCCAGTCTTCATCAAAGCTGTGTAGGTAAACGAATCTGGAAGTAGTCGAAGCTGTGGCATTTTTTCATATAGTTCCCAAGCGTTCTTCCAATGAGAACTGCTAACGCATCCAGCCATCACAGGGTTGAAACTGTAAGCTTGAAGTTTCCTCTTGTTCTTCTTCAGTGTCTCCAGCTCCAAAACAGCTTTTTGCCACTGACTTGATTTCTCACAGGCACTGATTGATGTACTAAACATGATGTCACTTGACAAGTTCTGGGTGCTTGCGTCGACAACGAGCTGCAAAGCAAAAGTCCAGTGAGATGAGTATGTAGTACTTGCTTTCTCACATGCACTTAGTACTGCGCCATAGGTCACACAGTTGGGACGGACTGCCATTGAAGACATCTTTTGAAGAAAATGCAGAGCGAACTGCCATTGAAGAGATGAGCCACAGATCTTGATGGCTGCAGTAAAGGAGATGACATCCAAGTCTTCACGTTCGTCCGACTGAATGAGTCGCAGGGCCTCGTGCCATGTCGAAAATCTCTCACAAGCACTCAACGCAGCTGTAAGGCCCTGTTGATCCAAAGTACCAAAAACCCTCCGTGTTTGCTCCGCCAGATCTAAGACCGTCGACCAGGCGCCGCCCGTACATCCAAAGAGTGCGTTGTAGGTGGCTCGGGTCGGTGCGAGGCCATCGCTATGGGTCGGGTGGCGCAGAGATGCCAAGGCCCGAAAGGCCCAAGGCCAGGCAGAAGCCGAGAAACAAGCCTTGGAAGCAAATAGATTCACATATACTAGTACTACATAGTACTACCAGGAGCTATTAGCTTCTTGTTACTAGTGATGGCCTCCAACCTAGTAGCTTCCAAGAAGCATTGAAGGTCACAATACTTGGAAGCAAAGTCCACCTTGGAAGCTCTTCAAGCAAATTCACAGCTCTCCTCCATGAGGATTCCCTTTTGTAAGCAGCAACGACCACATTGCAGTGGATTGTATTCACTTCGAGGCGGCTCAAGGCGGTCCTTGAGGATCCGAATTTCGATTGCAAATCAACAAGGAAGCTTCTTGTTACTACTAGTAACAAGTGCATCGCTTCTTCTAACAAGTGCCTTACTAGTACTAACAAGAAGCTAATAGAAACAATAAGCTTCTAGTAGTTTCTTCTTACTAGTAGTAAGGATGCTCCTGGTAGTAAGGCCATGAGCCCCTAGTAGCGTCCTTGCTCCTAGTAGCGATGCCAGGAGCCCCTAGTAGCTTCTTGCTACTAGTAGTAAGGATGCTACTAGGTGGAGGCCATCGCTACTAGGTTGAAGGCCACTACTACTAGTAGCAACTAGTTCCTAGTAGCGTCCTTGTTACTACAGGTGAAACGATTCCCAGGGAAGCTTCTAGCTACTAGTAGCGTCCTTGCTCTTAGTAGCGATGCCTCAAACCAAGAAAACAAACAACTGGAACCAGCTGTCAAAAGAACACAATCCAATTTCGCCGGGTGACAAGCTTGTGAGAGCCTGGCACGCAAAAATCCCTCCCTCCCCAAAACTTATCTGAAGTCCAGTTGAAATATACCAGTTTTCTCTTGCGTCTGACCTTTTCTTCTTTAGACCTTCCTTCCCATTATACAGTTCTTTCGACCTGCATTTTTTTCTCTGCATGTTTTTTTTGCGTTAGACTAGTATTCCTTTCTTCTTTTGTCATTTTCTTAGGACAATTCTTCTTCTTTTCTCTTTGCATTTACACGTTTCTTTTCCTTGTTTCTTTCGACTTTTGTTTTCCTCTTGTTTCTGACATTTTTTTTTTCGTTTGGCCAATCTAACCATTTTTATGTCCACTCATTTTTCCTTAGACCTGTATTACGTTTGCTGTTCTTTAGACCTCTATGACTGACATTGTTCTTTAGACATTTCTTTTTTGTTAGACTCCTTTTCTTCTTAAACCTGTATTTCTTGTTTCTCTTCAGACCCGTATGCCTCTTATTCATTTGTATTCTTAAATCTGTGTCTTTTTGTCATTCTTTTTGGACCTCCGTAATCATTTGTTCTTCTTTTCCTTTAGACATGTCGTTTTTCTTTTGACTTGTCTTTCTTTAGATTCTTTCTTTAGACCTGTGATTTTTTTCTTTCTTTGTGCATTCTTTTTTTAGACCTGTATAACACGTGTTGTTTGTTTCTTGAGACCTCTATTCCTTTGCTTTTTCTTTGCTACTTTGGACCTGTAGTCCTTTTCTACCTCTAGACCTGTATTAATGTTTTCATTAAACCTGTTTTCCTTTTCTTTCTTTCTTCCAGTTGTGCGGAAACGCTGCGTTCGGGCGAACTGATCTGGCTTTCTTCGGTCTCACACAAATACATTACCATAAGAGCCCCAGGCAAGCAGCTGACATCACCGAAGAGCAAACCAAAATGTTCTGAGGTGAAGATTCCAAAATAATTACTAACTAAGGCAACATGAGCAAAATCCAAAAACTAAGAAGACACACAATGTTTGAGGCTAAAATCAAGCGTTGTGTTTCTTTTTTCCCAAAACCTATGGTGTTTGTGGAAGAAAATAGTGCAAAGATAAGTGTTGCATGATATTTATATGCTCCTGTTTCTTTTGCTTCTGCACGAAGTAGCTCAATACCTAGGGTTTGGACAGGTTTTTGGGTGAGAAGACACTGGCAAAAAGTGTGTTTGATTTTGAGCTAAAAAATTATCTCTCTAGAGGGCTCGTTCTATTTTCAGATTGCCTAGTGTGTGTCCAGAAGCACAATTGGGGAGCCTGGCAGGACTTCAGTTTCAGAAGCATCGACCTCGTACTCCCAACTTCATTCCGGCCCATGTCCCTCATAAAACGATGACCGCATGGGCAGGGATGAAATAGATTAATTCTAATGTAATTCTAATAGCAAACATTGTTACTACTAGTAAGGCACCTGTTACTACTAGCGATGCACTTGTTACTACTAGCGTCCTTCTTTCCATGAAACGCGCCCTGCCGATCAAACGAATCGATCCAAAGCGACCCTGTTACGCCTCCATAGCTGCGAGAGCACCATGCTTGGAAGCCACCTTGCCAAGAGCAGCTGTTGCTTCCTCTGGACCGTCTCCTTTGAATCTCCACCTGCGTCTTTTTTCATTCAAAGTGCTATGGTAACTGTATGGTTATGGCAGGAAGTAGGTTGGAGGCCGCTATTCGGTTGAACAGACACGATCTCTCCAAAGTGCGTGCTCCACACAGTATTGCCACAACATGTTCAAGATCAACACATTGCCTCTCACCATCGTTCCACATGCAAGGTCAGATGCGCCAAGAAGGTCGGATGGCAAAATGCACGAGCCGGTGGCTGCGTTTAGGCTCTGTTTCCCTTCTTTTCCCTCGAAATTGGAACATGTGACAGCCATTGCTATTAGGGAGGCCATTTCATGTATATAGATGGAGCGTGCATTGCTTGTGCCTACAGAATGATCACTACACAGCCTAACTTCCTGAGTCCCAGGCATTGATCCCATGCTTTTTAATGACCACATCATAAGCCTGACGATTGTGCAACAAACGCTGTTTCCCTTTTGACGGTACAGGGACAAACAAAAAGAAACAATGTCTAAAAGCCCAAAGAAAGAAACAACACCACAAAAGAAAGACAAACACAAAAACACACAACATGAAATGCGCCCCGACATTTGTAGAAACAAAAACACGACATCCCAAACCTTCAAAAGAAGCCCAAGACTCAAAGGTTTCTCATCGAGTGCAGCCGACCTGGAGCACAACGACACGTCGCATGCGTGTTTCTACTAGCTTCTTGTTACTAGTAGTAAGGCCCTTGCTCCTAGTAGCGAGGCCAGGAGCCCCTAGTAGCGTCCTTGCTCCTAGTAGCTCCTCATTCGTGGTCAGTTTCCGAATTGCTGCTCTTCTTTTCAAAGTCGCTGGACACGTTTCGAACTTCAGAGGCGGGTAGTGTTTAGGCAAATGGAGACTGACATGCAATTGAACCTGAAAATCTCAGAGACAATGAAGCCCTGTCTGTCGGAAGGATCCAAGTTCTCCATGGCCTTGGATCACAAACACTTTAAGGAACCGCACTCGGGCTCATCCAACCTAGTAGGGATGGCCTCCAACCTACTAGGAATTGCCTCCAACCTAACGCTCCTTTCACTTCTGCCTCTCTTCTTTCAATCTTTTGACTTTTAGTCGCCTCTTTGTTGCTGCTGGTTAAGCGAACATGATATGAACCACGTAACACCTCTTCGCAAATGGAACTTGCTCAGGCTCCATCCCATCGTTGAGCCTGAGCATGTGGTGCCCGGCGAACAGATTCTGAATTGAAAAAGAACAGCCAAGACATTGGACATGACATGAAATTACTGTACAAACACTGTAACACATACTTCAGACCTTTCTTCCCCCTTGGTTCTTTTTTTGCCTTGGGGCCTTGGGCCTTTATAGCGCATTTCTTACAGCCCCAAAGCATTTTTGCTTGGTGCAAGCCAGCGGTGTGTTTGCTAGTTGAAAACAACTCCTTGGCTTCAAATTGGCCATGGAATTTGTTTGCGTTGGCCAAACGCTTGATGCGCAATGATGCGGGCAACGGGAGAATCCTTCAACCCAGGCGACATGCATGATGCTGCACCTTTTGCCACGTCGGGCGGACTTTTGGGATGGCAGGATGGAGGCAGCATGTAGCAGCAAGAACGCTACTAGGAGCAAAGGGCATCGCTACGAACGGAGCGATCGGACGCTACTAGGGGCTTCTGGCCTTACTAGTAACAAGAAGCTACTAGGGGCTCCTGGCATCGCTACTAGGAGCAAGGACGCTACTAGTGGCTCCTGGCTGTACTACTAGGAGCATCCTTACTAGTAACAAGAAGCTACTAGAAGCAAAGGGCACCGGTTCGGTCCCTTTTCGGCTCGTTCAGAGGCAAAGGCTGCCAAGTGCGCTATAAACAGAGAGCACATCGTTTTGCTGATCCTCGTGTAGATCGCCTTTTTTGATCCCACAGGACTCGTTTCTCGTAGTAAGAATGCTACTAGTAGTGACGCCAGGAGCCCCTATAGTAGCTTCTTGCTCCTAGTAGCGATGCCAGGAGCCCCTAGTAGCTTCTTTTTACTAGTAGTAAGGCTGAGTGAAGAATGGTTGTTTTGGATTGAGAGCGCCTCTTGTGACTCTAGTGATCACAAGTGAATCTCCACTCTTTCTTCCTGCAAGTACCACGAGAAAGGGTGGTTTACACATTGCTTACACATGTTCAAGACTGTGCAGGAAACGTCTTCCGATGTTCATTGACAACCCCCAAGTTCCCCCAATATTTCAATTGTTGGCATGTGGGCCACGGTGCGTCCTTTACAAAGCACGCTCGGGTTGACGGGATACATGCCGAGCTCGGTTTGAGTGCATGGGCAGCCCGCGAAATGCTTTGATAGGCCTTTTCACAGGTTCGAGCTTTAGAGGCTGGATAAACAAATAGATAGAACAGAACAGAATAGAGGAGAGTAGAATAGAATAGAATAGATTAGAATGAAAGAAGGAAAGAGAAACAGAAAGAATCAAGACACATAGATAGATAGATCGCTAGGTAGGTAGGTAGGTAGGTAGGTAGGCAACTAGATAAATGCTCAATTACCAACTACCGGTTGTGTGAGCAAACTTGTGTATTGTGACAACGCAAACAATCACAGAAATAAAGACTTCAGTTGACACACCCAGGGCCGCCCCTAGCTTGCCAAGCAACATTGACCGAGCGAGCGTCGGAATGCACCCCATCTTGCTGGACGCTTGCAAAGACTGTTGAAAGGATGGGAAACAATTGTGCACCTCATTGATCTCCGCATCAATCTGGGCAATCGTCTTGATATGACCATGAATGAGACCCGCTTAAGTGTCCGTGTGCTGATGCGTCTTGACATTTTACAACTTTCAATGCACTTCGGTTGGAGGCCATCGCTAGTAGGTTCCTTTTGCTCTTAGGTCTTGATTTTTTACGTCATGAAACCTGAACCACAGTGTCTCCGAAGTCGGCAAGGAACGTCCTTTCTTCAGCCAATCTCAAGCCCTGACACGTCATCCCTTTCTTTAGACCTTAAAAACACACACAAACATCACATAAACCATGTTTAAGAAATACCACCGAAAACCGAACCCTCAAGACATGATCATGCGTTCGGAGGGGGTCTATGTAGGCTATGGGTAGCCGGGTTACAACACAATGGTTGTGATCCCGCGACGAATTCTCTGCAACAAAGGGACATATGAAGAAACCCACACGCTCAGAGCTGACCATCAAAAAGTTGGTTGAGCTCGCAATGGCTACCCGCCGAGCCAGGCCAAGAAGCTGAAGATGACAGTGCGAGTGACATCACTGGCCCACCTACTTAAGATGCGGAACCACCCTAGCAACTTCTCGCTTACTAGTAGTGATGCCTTTGTTACTAGTAGCGATGCCAGGAGCTGCTAGTAGCTTCTTGTTACTAGTAGTAAGGCCTGGAGCACCAAACACTTTTCAGACTCAAGAGCCGTCTTGGAACCAGGGCCAAAGCGATCCCTGAGGAGGTAGTGGTTTGTAACCGTGGCTCCGTGATAGCCGATTCGTCCACCCAACCAGACTTGTGTCATATGGGCCGAATTCTACCATATGAGCTCGCCGGCTTACGGCAATGGACCTTTTCTTAGCAGCGCTCTACGTGGAAAATAGTAATTTCGAGCAGATACGGGCTGTATGTACATATATCTGCATGTATCTTGGGGATACTTATGCTGAGCAGAAAGGTCTTGAAGCTCGTAAGGCAGAAGAGTCTAAGAGGAAGAAAATGAGGAGTGTGGCATCAGGTTAGGATTCAGAAGATGCATTAGGAATGAATGAGGAAGAGGTTCGTGCTGAAAATGAGGAAAAAAGAACTGAGGATAGGGCAGAAGTGAATGAACAAGAAGTAGCAGAAAATCTCTTAAACATGTGGAAGCAACTAAAACGAACGTGGAGGTGCCTGTGGAAGAGGTGCCAGAGGTTGTGCGAGATAAGCCCGTGGCTATTAAAAGCCCAGCAGTGGAAGGTTTACTACATGATAAGGATGATGAGACTATAGATGCTGATGCAAAGCCAGAAGTTATGAAACAAGCAGGCCTAGTAGCGATGCCCTTTGCTCCTAGTAGCGTTCTTGCTCCTAATATGGCCAGGAGCCCCGATCGGAGCGTCCGATCGCTCCTAGTGCTTGTATTACTGGGTTGACAAATGCGGAAGTGAAGACTCCGCCGGTGAGTTTGCGGGCGACCGAGGCTGACGACACAACTGAGGCCGGTGACGCTCAGTAGTGACAGCAACGCTCTTTCTGCACGGAACGACCCATCTTTGGAGTCGGTGAAACGCAGCCGACTGGCTGACTTGTCCACGGTGCTATTGGCGGACTTTCTCCGGACTGGGTGGTGCACTAGTGCCACATCACATGGTATATCTACTGGACGATACCTGAAGATAGGGAAAGGAACAAAACAAGGCTTCCTCAATAGCCTTGGACATTGATTGAATGCGTTGTTAAATGGCATGGCATGTTGTTCTCCAACCTGTCCGAGAGTCCTCCACTCACCTGTCCTCAAACTCTCCGGCATTTCATCCAGCTGAGGAGCTCCTGTCAAATGTTTCAAGGAACTATCCATTGGAGGCCGCCGCTATCAGGTTGGAGGCCGTCGCTAGGTTGGAGTTCCATCATAATCAAACAAACCAAAGCACCTCGCTATCGCTATCCATTTGACAGGCTTAAAAGATATCTCTAGAGAACAGGTTCCTAACCTTCGATTATAGCCATACTCTACGAACTTGAACGATTTGATGCACTTCCCAAGCGCCTCGAACCTAACCAAGGGCTCGTCCTCAGGATAGCGCTGTTGGTTGGGTGAAAGGGCTGAGGCACGCTGAGGCTAAGGATCAATCCGAAAAGTCCTCCTTCTCCAGCACACACCTGAGAATCACACACCGACACTCCGCTTAGAAGATTCACAGTGCATGTATCTTCACATGTATTTTTACATGTAAACAAAAATTACTAGCGATGGCCTCCAACCTAATAGGAATGGCCTCTAACCCAAGAAGGGAACTGCGCTTGCCACCACCGAGCCTTGCGCATCTAGATTTTATCCCAAACTTTATGTTACAACTTGCGCAGCATTTTTTCAATTTCCAATCTTACAATGGGCTCTTTGATACCCCACGCCCCAGCTACAATCTCCATCTTTTGCTTTCTCAACTTCACTTTGGAAGGTTCTCCTCAAAGCATACTACCCATTGCTCAATCTTGTCTTCCATTTCCGTAAGTTTCTGCAGCTTCTTCCAGCCCCCTGCAAACTGAAACGAAGGGACAACAAAGTAGAATTTTGCCTTGCCACCATGCTTCTTGCCAGCCTCGACGGCAACCTTGGATGCCTGTGTCCTGCTTCCGGCAAAGTTGATGGTGTGTGTGTCTGCAACTGTCATCTGAAACAAACCCTCTGATGTCCATGCGTCAAAGGCGGGGAATGTCTTGCTTGTGGGTTGGTAGTATTTGCCAGCCTCAGTGACCGGCTTGGGGTTGTCTGAAATCAGAAGCCCACCTGTGAATTCAACTGTTGTATCATTCTCTGTTCCATCTGTAGTCAGGCGTCTTGCTCGAAGCTTGATCTTGGGGAGTTTCTTGTCCTGCGTGAACTCATGAAATGCCTCTTCAAACAACGCACACCCGATGGCTGTCATCCTTCCCTCCTCTATACGCTCCCAAAGAGCTTTGCTTTGTCGGTTTCTCTTCACCAACTCTTGACAAACATAAGGAGACGATACATTGACAGCAAAAACCTTAAAATTCCACTCAGGATACATCTTTAACAGAAGGTGTGTGTCCTGGCTGATTGCCCTCATCTCCGAACTAACCTCCAGAGTTGAGAGCGCGTCAGCACTGTTCAAAGCAGCTTCGAGCCTCTTCCTGTCCATTTTGACCAGGTGTTCATCCTCTTCCAACACTATCCGCGCACAGCCCCCGAATATGTCAAATCGCTCTTCAATTTTTGTTCCGCGGCAACCCATGAAGCAGCATTACCTTGTCTTGCAGCATTTCCTCCAAAGTCCATGTTGGCGAAAGGAACTGCCCAGAAGCACGTGCAGCTTTTTTGAAAATATTCTGGCTTTCTTGCCGATGTTATCCACAAGGACTGGTACTGAACTCGACGTGCTACATCAATACAGGCATCCATGACATACAAGGCTTGGCTTGGAGCAGTTTTCAATGTTCCAACATCAACCTGTAGTGGCATTTCATTCTTCTTGACACGAGTTATATCATCCACATTGTGCAGAAAAGCGAGAATTTGCTGAGCTCTGGGTCTTGAAAGCGTCGCCAAATGAGGTAAATAATAAAGTTTGACTTCCCAATTCCTGATGAGCCCAGCACGGACATGGCAGGGGGGTTCTTCTCGAACATGAGGTGGTCGGCAATCTGCTGATAGCAATTCTTCTCATTCCAAATTTCAGTCGCGCTCTCTCGCCTGAAGCAGTCCTTTTCTGTTGTGAGCATTCGCCCGCTTTCATCCAGCTGCGCATCATCCAGTGCCAATGCGAAGGGCTTGTCCGTCTCAGCAGGTGTTGCTACCTGATACATCAGGAAGACACCGCATCAAAACACGATGAATCCAATGAACCGCCTTGTCTTTGAACTAGGGGAGGATGTTTAGCCAAGAAAACAAATGCATCCAACAAAGGCAAAGTCTACAAATGACTTTTGCCGAGAAACTGTTTGCAATGCTTGGAGCAAGAGACAGAACATCTGACAGTCCTCTGTTTGCGTGTTCAGTCTTAGTGACACTTTGGTTCTTTCAATCCTGTGTGCCAATTCTTCCGTTTGCCTTGCTTGTCATTTGGGATTCATTCATCTTTTGAAGGCATACTGACGGTATTCATAGACCAGGGGGCTGAAGATATGTGAAGTATCCTTCATCTATTCTGGCATCTTTCGGAAGAACTGTGAACACACTGAAGCTGTGCAGCAATTGGCCTTCTCCTGCTTGGCTTTCTCCTTCTTCGCCTTTTCCACCTCCTTCTTCGCCTCCTTCACCTCCTCCTCCACCTCCTCCGCCACCTCCTTCACCTTCTCCTCCACCTTTTCCACCTCCTGCTCATCTCCCGTTTCTCTGGCTGTTCGCAAGTCCTCCAATGCCATGGTCCAATCTGGTGGAATCAGGTTGAATGCAAGCAACGGGGGCCGCTTTGTCGGCGAAATGCCCGCCCGGCGTTTTCCGGGCGCAAGCTTAGTTTGAATACCGTTGCAATTTCTTCACGCTCTTGTAACAAGTGCATCGCTAGTGGTAACAGGTGCCTTACTATATAGTAGTAACAAGAAGCTAGTAGAAACAAGTGCCTTACTACTAGGAACAAGTGCCTTACTAGTAGTAACAATGTTTGCATTTGTCTCCACAGGTTCCCGAACTGGTGAGGCCCTCCGTGGGTTTTGGGCCCCCAAACTTGTGTCCACTAAGACTAGAAGTTTTTTTATTTTAATTCTAATTTAATTCTAATAGCTTCTTGTTACTACTAGTAAGGCACTTGTTACTACTAGCGAGGCACTTGTTACTACATGGTTTTACACGTAGCTTGAGAGTGATACAGGACGCATCGGACGCAGACGGCATCGTTCCCTGAGGTTCCCACCATAGCCGACCAATCTCTGCGGACCTCGACCGAATCGAGAACACGTTGAAAACAGCACGTCATGTTAAACCACAGAGTGACAGGCCCATCACATGCCCACCTTTGGTCTTTTCATCCGGATTTCACCAGTGTTCTTGTCCAGTCGCATTGATCTGTCCAAGTTGCACCTTTTTTTGATTGCAGGTTTCAGCTCAGCAATTGCGCTGTTGTCCATTGTTTCGTTGTCCCAACGGATTGCAAGGTTGCTCAATAACAATGCTTTTTCTACCTCACTTGCGTGTGCAGCCTCGACTGCTCCGTTGCTAAAGCCAGTCGTAGAACGATTCGTCTGAGAGCTGATCTGCGTCAACAATTTTGTGCTACACAGGCACACATTCCACCAATTTGTGCTGCTTAAGCATGCGTGAACCACAAAATGTTCTGGCAAATTTACTGTCTTAGAGGGGTAAACAACGACCGACAATAAATGTTAATAGGTGCACACGCCCTACGATCAGCTGGCTGAAGCTGCTATGACTGCTATGCCACATTGGCTGTTCCACTCAGTACCATATGACCGGTTGAAGGATCCTGATTGCGGTATCGCTACTAGGAGCAAGGACGCTACTAGGGGCGTAACTGGTTGAATGACCGGTTGCCGCGAGGGTGGCATTCACGTGCCTTCGGCCAGGATGCCACAAGAACGCCTCTGAAGATCTCTGAAGTGATTTCTCTGCGCCCCCAATCTAGCGATGGCCTCCACCCTAGTAGCTGATAGTCACCCGACTGTTTCATTGCAAGGAGGACCACCCGAACACAGTGACCACAATTCTTCGGTAGCAGCTGAGGAACTCAAGAGCACTTTATAGATTTGGGGCCGTCAGTTTGCGAACAGTGATGAACCAACCTTGCGATTGACCTAGACGCGTGCCCAACAAGTTCTGCTTTGGTTGCATCTGGGTCTTGAACTTGTTGGCGGTGTTGCTGCTTAAGTTTTGCAGTTGATATCTTTTAACATGGGCAACACTTAAGTGCTCAGGGTGGGTTGGGTGGGGCCACGCCGAATTAGGTCCAGCGATGAAGGTGCGCTGCGTTCATTCATAGACTTTGCTTGGCCTTCATAGGTCGAGGGGTCTCGTATCAACCAGGTGCACGCGCAGCCCCAGGGTTGCAAGGCACCTCGACTCGTGTCTATGCTTTCACTCGTGTTCTCAGACTAATTAGCTTTAACATGAAAACACAAAGAAGTCGGTGCGAACGCAGGGGTTAGCCGGGAATAATCGTTCCGAGTTGGTGAGTTATAAATCTTATCCTTAACTTAAGCTAGTAGTAACAAGTGCCACGCTAGTAGTAACAGGTGCCTTACTAGTAGTAACAAGAAGCTAGTAGGAAGAAGTCAATTATAACTTATAATCTATTTGAGTGACCATCCTGTGCTTCTGAGCCCCACCCATGACGCACGCATGTGTAACTGTGCACGGACTCTCCTCACGAGCTTCGAAGACACTCGACAATGCCAAACACATCTGACCCCACTGCTACTCCCGAAGACCAAGCATGTTGACGAAAAGCAGACCCGAAGCCCAAAAACAGAAAGACCATGAAAGACCCAAAAGTCATCAAAACCTTGGGTGTGTGACGTGATCGAGGGCTCGATCTCCGTGAGAAGAGCAGCAAAACCTGTGAAGGCCTGGCGCAACAAATCTGCAAATCCAATTTATATTTTCATTTTTCTTTAAAACCCGCCCTTACTTAATTAAGTAGGCACCTACTTAATTAAGCTACTTACGCTACTAGTATGGAAAAACAACGCGTTCTCGCTTAATGTTTGCGGATCTGGGTGTGGTGTGCTGTTGCTCAAACCGCGTCGCATGACCCTGCTGTGCCAGGATTAGCTTCAGGAGGGCCTTGAGTTGAAACCTGGCCACACCCCAATGGTGTAGAAAAAAAGACTTTAAGGACCCTGATAGCAACGGCCTCCAACCTACTAGCGATGGCCTCCACCGATGGCCTCCACCCTAGTAGCAATGGCCTCCAACCTGATAGCCTCCTGACACATCTGTTGTGGGTGAAACATCAAAGTAACGAAATCAATCCAATCGTCTGATGTGCTGCAAATTTTAGCTTACACGAGGTGTGTACGAAGTGTGCCAAACTCACTCAGTCATTTTCATTGCTGGCGCAATAGGCACAGTACTTTATGATAGCGTGGTTGGCGTTGTGTGAAGTGCACTTTCGTGGCGGGGAATCGTGTTGCTGTGTCATACCTACCGTACCTAGGAGCAAGGACGCTACTAGGGGCTCCTGGCCTTACTACTAGGAACAAGGACGTTATTAGTAGCTCCTGGCATGACTACTAGTGACAAGAAGCTCTTTTGCACGGGGACACGCTTCATAGTGCTTTCAATAAAGGCAATCCTAATTGAATCCTAGATGTTTAGAAAAAGACGCTAGTAGGTTGGAGGTCATCGCTAGTAGAGTGGAGGCCTTTGCTTAAAAGAACATGACACCTTAGGTGCATGAAGCGCTCGTTTTGACTTTCTGCGTTCATTCTAGCAGTGTGTCACCTCAACTGTTTAACAGTCACTTGCCCGGATACCTCACTTCCCTGAAAATGGGCCTCATGCGTTGTTAATTACGTCTGCAACCTGCATAGGCCGTCAAGGCATTTTACCTTGCCTATGATGGTGTTACCAAAGACCAGTTTCGTCAACCACATGCTAGCAAAGTTTTTCAAACACTTTGCCATCGCTTCTAGGTTGGAGGCCATCACTTCTAGGTTGGAGGCCATTGCTCTACAGCACTCTCTTCATCTTGTCAGAACATCAAGGGTCTTGCGGCACGTCAACTCTCCTCTCGGTTCGTCTTAGAGTGACGAATCAGCTTTTGGACATTCAACGATGTTCACTGCACACATCCGAGAGTATTGATCTAGCCACGCAAATGCGCGGGCTGCACCAAGTAGAGCCGCAGGGGAGGCTCACAATGATGCCTGGGAAAGGACATGAAGGGACTTTGCTTCGGAATGGGCAACAAGGGACTTTCGCCTCAAAGTGCTCTGAACTCGATCGTCCTCAGCAAGCCAGCCAACATGCGGAGCTGCGGAATAAGGAATAAAGAATATTAAGAATATCTATTATTTCATATACAATTGAGGTACCAAATAGCGATGGCCTCCAACCTACTAGCGGAACAAGGAATAATTAAGGCTGGACCTCATAAATTTTACGGCATCTGTGCAGGTTGCGTGTGCAAACATTGCTTTCTTTTTGGAAGATTCCATCTGTTGGTGCAACAGTGAGGCACATTACACATACCAAGCACATCTCCACCCGCTCTGACCACTCCCCACTCGTGAGTTCGGACTGATTTAGCGGACAGTCGTAACGAACAAGTTCAGAGCGTTGAGAGACGAGATATTTTGCATACTTGTTACTACTAGTAAGGCACTTGCTCCTAGTAGCGAGGCACTTGTTACTAGTAGCTTCTTGTTACTATTGCAACACTGCACTGCGGATTTTGTGAACCTCAAAGTGCAGATTTCGTGGCAGGGGCAGCACTTTGTGGACAGCGAAGTGCAAATACTGTGATGGATTCTGACTCATATGTGTGCGCATCATATTTGTGCTCATAATATGTGCCCGCTGTCATGTGTTTGCTCCCACCTGTGTGCTCCCGCATGTGTTCTCTCGTATTTGTGTTCTATCATATTGGTGCTCATGCGTTTGCTCTCATAAGTGTGCTTTTAGGTTCTCATGCGGCTTTCATATGCGTGCTCTTAGTCTTGTATACCCTCATGTGTGCGCATGAAACAAAGATATGACACTTGCAGCCCCGCTGGCCGTGTGAAAAACAATCGCTGTCCAAATAAACACTGCTGGGGTCTCTTGCGGGATTACTCTTGGTCATGTTTGTCGTGCGTTTTTGCCTCGGACGCATCGGAGATTCCCTTTCAAACGAACACTTTGCCTCAGCAGTTAACCTGCTTGATATGATTGTTTTGGAATCAGCGACCCGGACATGGCAAATTGGACACGTGCATAACTCTTGCCAAACATTCATCCAAAACTTTGTGATCGTGAGCGACTTTCGCTGAGCGGAACAAGGGGGCTATTTATCTGGTCGTTGAGTCAACTTGCACTTTAGGACCGAGAGACGACGTGAGAAAATGATACAGACTAGAAAACATGTTTGACGCATGTCATGAGTGAATAGGGATCTTTGACAGCTGAGATTGAACATGGGGACGATTGGGTGAGTGAGCGGGGATTAGGGGTCGGTTGCCTTTGTGCTGATATAGTTCATTTACTTCATGCGTCGGCAAACCAAATTACACGTCTCATCTCGCCATGCGTGCTTTAAAACTTACAAATTGTTAGATGTTAACAGCAGTCATCTGACATGATGACAATTACTTTTTTCTATCATCTTATGGAAACCCACATGAACCCTAGCCAACTTAGCCATTCGGGGCATGGACTTGATGTGTACCACACAGGTCTGATGTGGAAATACGATCGGATACGCCATGCAGGGTGCAATCATTTTCACCAAACATCATTGAAAAGCAGTGTGTGACGTGTGGGTACTTGAAATTGGACCAACTTCTGCATCGCTACACAAAGCCATGTGCATGGTCTCGCTATGTCACTATGTGACTGCTCACTCATGTGACCTATCCGAGCATCTCCAAGGGTCTCTCGGAAGCGCTGGAAAGCCAAACCCGCCCAGTCCTAGCGAGGCGTGTGCCGCAGGCGTGGACAAAGGGCATCGCTACTTACTAGCAAGGAAGCTACTAGTAGCTGTTTGCTACTAGTAGTGCACTTGTTACTAGTAGCGATGCCCTTTGTTGCTAGTAGCTTCTTGTTTTGTCCGTTTCCAGGTTTCCATTATTCTCCTGGAGCCGGTTGTCGGACGACTTTTCCAAAAGCGCTTCAAAGAGCACCATGGAAACCTCCAAACAGAAGAACCACGAAGAAATCTAGTAGCCTCTTGCTACTAATTGCGATGGCTTCCAACCTAGTAGCTTCTTGCTACTAGTAAAACACGAAGAAACCTGAAGGTCAGGAGCTACTAGTAGCTTCTTGTTACTACTAGTGATGCCAGGAGCTACTAGTAGCGATGCACTTGTTCCGTTTGTAGCGCCCTTTGCAGGTCGTAGCTTCCGGCCTGTCCTTTCTGCACGGGATTGGGCAAATGAAGGGTGCCTGACACAGAGTTCTCCGTCACTCGACGTGATCGTTGTTCTCCGTCGACGAGAAGAAGAAGCGGCGCCTGCCGTCCGGAAGGACTCGGCGCTCAAAGAATTGAAGATCTGTGCGACTTCCTTGTTGGACAAACCCAAGCGTAAGCTTCTCAGACCTCAAACAAGTGCATCGCTACTAGGAACAGGTGCATCGCTACTAGTAACAAGTGCCTTACTAGTAGTAACAATGTTCGCTACTAGGAACAAGTGCATCCCTACTAGTAACAAGAAGCTTCTCAGACCTCACAAGAGTCACAAGACACCAAAAAGGACCACAGGTGGTGACCACAGTCTGTGTCCATGGCTACACCGTTGGAGGCCATCGCTATTAGAAACAGCCATACTACTAGGAGCAAGAAGCTACTAGGTTGGAGGCCATCGCTATTAGTCTCTTCAGGCCGTGACTTTGCATGAATTGGGGTCCCGGAAGGCTGTTCTTGCCATCCGCTTCCCTCATTGCCTGTCGAATCTAGCTGTGAGAGACTGTGCAATGTCACCATTGAATATTCGGCGCATGAATCCATGAATGGCAGTGGTAAACTTTTGAAAGTTAAACAAACGACTATTGTTTGCATTCCACTTCTTTTTCGGGCATGAATTGCTACATGGACCATCCCAAGTTCAGTCCGTGGGCACCCTCGATTTCCACAACAAATCCTTTGTGTCATGTCCGTTTCCAAACCAACAGAAAGCACTCTCAGATCGAATTTACAAATTAAACAGATCCCCTCTGACTTGACATTGCCCCTTCCAGCCACTGGCCAGTACAACCTCAAAACACCGTTGGGGTGTTTGCTGACACTCCAGACAACCAACATGGAAGTGGAATAGCTCAGGACGATGGTCTTCCAAGGGATGACTTAACACTTCCATGTTTGCTTTTGCGGTGGGGTATATCTATGTTCAGTGGCTTTCATTGGAACAAGGGCGTTGCTTACTAGCAGCAAGGACGCTACTAGTAGCTCCTGGCATCACTAGTAGTAACAAGAAGCTACTAGGAACAAAGGGTTCTTGACATGTGTGCGGCGGCATTTATTTGCTACTAAACTCAATTACACTATCTATTATGTGGGGGCCCTATCTCGTTTAGACTACTTAAGTAGGAGGTCATGTCACAGTATCTCATTAAGACTACTTTAGTAGCATATCACATCACACTATCTCGTTCAGACTACTTTCGTGTCATCAAGCAAAAGTATCTCGTTTATGTGGGGGCCCTATCTCGTTCACAAGCGAATACTGATGATAGACAAGTGGTTGCTCATGTAAAAAATGCAGTGGCCAGGAGGCGCAAGACTGCACCAAAGCGGACCAGTGAAACAACGAGGTGATCTCGTCGATCCAAGCGTCAATGCCAAATCACCCCACCCCTGGTCACATTACATTTACCACAGCACTCAACACATCGCACAAACAATACGCCGCTCAATAGTTTGTAGTTTTTGCCATGTGTTTTGTCCTTGCCCTTGCATCCTGCGTTGCTTCCTTCCTTCCTTGCCAGCTCGCCTGCCTGCCTGCCTGCTGCCACAACATGGAACCCCAAAACTTGTCCTCTTGTCTCCGCACAGTTCGAAATATGTCCTTCTTTTTTCTGTACTTAATTGCTGCTCAAAAGGAATTGATCGGATGCGACAGAAGAATAACATCATCGGTTTTTTGCTGCTCAGGCCTGGGTGAAGTTCAAGCCGCTCCGCAATAGCCTCGCCTGAAAGGAGCGTGAATTCAACTCGCATTTGCATCAGGTTCAACAGTTTCGTGCTACGCTACCGACGCTACCGTCCATTTGTATCGGTTGTGTAGCACTTTGGGTCTTGTTTGTAGCACTAGGGGCTCCTGGCCATACTAAGAGCAAGGACGCTACTAGTAGCTTATTATTTCTAATAGCTTTTTGTTACTACTAGTAAGGCACCTGTTCCTAGAAGCGATGCACCTGTTACTACTAGCGTCTTGTTTGTTCTTGCGTCAGCTTTGAGTCGGTCCAAGTGTCCGATTCAGTCCAGGGTTCGCGCGTGTGTCGACAACTCGATTGCGACAACTCCCGCCATCTTGCGCTTTTGCAAATGGACAATTCCTTTTTTTGTTTAACTGCAATTACTAATTCTTGTTACTACTAGCTTCTTGTTACTACTAGTAAGGCACTTGTTACTAGAAACGATGCACTTGTTCCTAGTAGCTTATTGTTCTTTCAATCATGCTTGCCATGATGAGAAAAAACCATGATTGAACCCCCATCGGAGCAACTCTCATGTGTGCCAAACGGCAGGGACTCTGCGATAACTCCAAGACGCACCATCTTTGAGAGAACCAACGATGGGGGTGAGTTTTAGGATGAACACATCAGCAAAAACTGCAACCAAACCTATAACAACCTTGAAAATAGCCTTGAATACCAACCAAACATAACTGACAAACAAACCGAGACACAATGAGACCTCCGTGTCCGAGATCCTAGATTGAAACAACAATCCAGGTTGGTTTCAATTGAACACCTAGATATCATATTGGTTGTCTGGATTGAAATAAAACCATCCCAGAAGGGCTTTCTTGGCATGTCTTTCTTTTCAAATCCAAGTAGATGGACAATCGCAAGCCAAACCAATCTCGAATAGTTGCACCTGCATCTTACACCATCTGCGTCGACAAGTTGTGTTGGTAACCAGGGAGGCTTGGCACAAGGCCTACTTTTTGACCTTGACTGATTGCAAAAAAGCTTGCGCGATGGACACCAAACCAATTGAGTTTGAAAACATGGGCCAGCACTGGGCTTCTGGCAGCCTGGAAACCTATGAGGGAAGCTGCACTTGTTCTGCCCCCTGGCCCCGTTTGTAGGGTGTGGAACATAAAACGGAAGGCTTGGGAAAACTAGGGGGAAGCTCAAAAAGGCAAAGAGAGCCTAGGCTTCTGACAAGGAGAGGGCCAAGGCACACGCCAAGAAGACAAAGGAAAGTGAAATTGAATTAAGGGAAGTGGGACAGAAGCTTAAAGTTGCAAACAAAGGCTGTCATGAAACTAGTAACAAGAAGCTACTAGTAGCAAAGGGCATCGCTACTAGGAAAACGTGCATCGCTACTAGGGGCGCTCCTGGCCCTACTAGTAACAAGAGGACGCTACGAACGAAACAAAGGCTGCTGCGGCTACGAACGGTGCGAGCCAAGGTGGTGGCCAAAACGTTAAAAACTGTGGCAACTTTTCTATTTTCAGTAGCCTCTGTTCCGTTCGTAGCGTCCTCTTGTTACTAGTAGTAAGGCCAGGAGCCCCTAGTAGCGTCCTTGCTCCTAGTAGCGATGCCCTTTGTTCCTAGTAGTTTTCATGTTCGCCACCGTCAACTGAAGCATTGTACAGACTTGTATGGTTGCGGTCTTTAGCTTTGCAGGTAAGGCTCGAAGCAAAGCTTTGCAATTTCAGGCTTAACAAAGCGTAGATGGATAAGTTCTTGTGAAGCCTTTTCTTTCATGTTTCCCAGTCACAAAGTTGTTTTTTGATTTTGCAAAAGCGGTGAAGTATGTTCCCTTGACTTTTTAAGGCAAGCTAACGTCATGAACCTTCAATGTATTTCATTAAATTTTTGTGAAATATGTCCCTTTCATGTAAGAATATATTCCAGCTTCATGACTTGTCCTTTTTGAAAGTATGTTCCTTGATTCTTTCAATATAAACTAATTCCATGACTCGTTTAGTGCTTTTTAGAGAGAAAACAAGCAGCACGAACGACAATTGTGTCCCATCCATTTTGAACTTTGCCCGATGAGCGGCACTGTTTCACGCACAACAGCGCTCTAACATATGATGCAAGTCTTTCTTTTTAGCTCGCACTGATGATTTGGTTCCTAGATTTTTAGGGAAACTAGTAGTACTACCTTCTTGCTACTAGTAGCGAGGCCAGGAGCTACTAGTAGCGTCCTTGCTCCTAGTAGCGATGCCCTTTGCTCCTAGTTGCGTCTTTGCTCCTCCCCCCCCCACGCGCGCGCGCGCGTAATTAAACTTAATTCTATGTATTTCTTGTTTCGAATAGCTTCTTGTTCCTAGTAGTAAGGCCAGGAACCCCTAGTAGCGATGCACTTGTTCCTAGTAGCGATGCCCTCTCGCCTGCACACGGCACAGAATTGCATTGAACTCTTCCGGTGAGAGCGCCGAGTGAAAGTCCCGGCTGCAAAGCGACGTTGACAGTTCCAAGTGCGTTCGCTACCAAGGACTCTGCTTCACTAATGCCCAATCAATCTCAGCACAAGCAACATGAACAGTAGGCGGCAGGCGATTGAAAGTAGGTTTCGTTTTCTCCCATCGCTACTATTTCAGCACAAACAAAAGCAACACATCGGATGATACTGGCCTGACAGACAGAAAGTCTGCTACAGCCATGCGGAAAGGCCTGTAGGACACATGCCCTATGCCTGCACAAAGTGTACGGAGTGTACGGCACAAAAGCAAACACATCTTAGAGAATCAGTGTCCTTGCTAGTACGACGTGTTATTGATATAGTTAAGTTTCTAGTAGTAAGAATGCTCCTAGTAGCGATGCCAGGAGCCCCTAGTAGCGTCCTTGCTCCTAGTAATAAGGCCAGGAGCCCCTAGTAGCTTCTTGTTACTACGAGTAAGGCACTTGTCACTACTAGCGATGCACTTGTTCCTAGTAGCTTCTTGTTCTTAGTAGCTAACAACCCAGAACATATTCAGGAAAACTGAACCGCCCACACAGACACTCACACACACAAAGACCGAGGCAACGAAAATTCAACCAAGAGCCGCTTTGACCTGCTCTCTTAAACGAAACTCCAAATTTATCCTTTCGGCACAGTGTATGTATTGCGAGTGAGGTCATTGGACAAAGATGAAAATGAAGAAACAAAATGATGATCATCATCACAAATAACACAATAGGAATCATAGTTCATCAAAAAAGCATCTTGGACATTTTGCCAGTTGACTCTTCTGAGACTGTTCCTTTGCAAAGTTGAACAGTTGAACAACTGCACAGTCCATCATGCGCTTTCTATTAAGTGCGCAAGCAAACGCTTAAAAGCGCTGTCTTTTGCTTGCCAGCATGTCCTGGTGGCTTGCGCCATTGCGACGACTGAACCTTTTGCGACAGTGGCACACCAAAAGAAAGGGTTCCTGATTCTCACAGTTCGCAATTAGGTTGGAGGCCATCGCTAGTAGTAACAAGGGCATTACTAGTAGCAAGACGCTACTAGGTTGGAGGCTTTCGCTAGTACAAGTAGGTTCTTGCAGATGAGGAGAAAGGCTTTGTAACGGGAACTCCAAATTTTTGGAGGCAAAGAAACGGGTGACGGAGAGGTCAAAAGAAAGTACTCTCCGCAGGATCCGGCGGAGTGTTTGGTGCTGAGCTTCAGGTTTGATCTCTTTGCACACTCGGCCTGATAGCCTGGTCTCGCCCAGTCTGTATGATTCGAGATAATCTGAGATATGTAGAGCATGCCATGGCCTGCCATAGCCTTGTCCAGCTGAACGGCCTTGTCCATTGAAGGACGTCTGCTGTAAAACTTCAGGGCTCAAACCATGTCCGCATGGAGCGGCGAAGGTGTTTCTTCCCTTGATGGACTTGGCAATCAGCAAAGGGATGCCCTTTTCCACATGTTGAGGGCCTCTTTCGCAGGCCTCTTTCTGAGGCTTCAACTGTACTCCACGCAACTGTCCACTTCATGTTGATGATCGTTGCGTAGTGAAACCGATGAAGGCCGGCACAACGTCCAAGCCCGGATCATAGCAACTGATGCCCATGAAAGTGAACATCAGATTGGTGTGTCACAGATAAGTCACCACTGGTTCCAGCCTTGGATGAAAACGAAGTAAGGAGAAGGAAGGAGGAGGAAGGGACAATACCAATGTCATGGAAGAAAGTGGCGTTTACCCGCGGATCCGAGGAAAGTATCTGCCCGGTATCTGCCCTGTGGAGTTAACTAGCACTCGATTAAGCAGCTGCAATTTTGGCGGGGAGATTATCAACTGTAGCTAGTCAAAAAGCATTTTCCGCAGTCCCTTGGATGACTAAGGATTTCTCAAAACATGAACATAAACAATCAAAAAGGAATGGACTTCAGAGGAATCAACAAAAAAACATAGCAGGAATTGTCGAGCGGGCTTTCCACATCGCCGACGAGCAGCAAAATAGCATTTTGTTGAGCCCGCTCCTAGTTAATTAAGGAGGTAAGCTAGTAGCAATAGGAAGCTCCTAGCGAGGACGCAGGATAGCTCACGCTCGCACTAGTGATTTGGTTACTGGGAAACTTAACTTCAGCCCTCTCTCAATAGCTGAGCTGCCCAGGGTTTCTGTTATCAGTGTCTTTTTCATGTGTCTTTCTCTTCACTGGTATATGTGCATATAGGAACAAGAAGCTACTAGGGGCTCCTGGCATAGCTATTAGGAGCAAGGACGCTACTAGGGGCTCCTGGCCTTACTACTAGGAGCAAGAAGCTACGAACAAAGCAAAAGGCATCGCTACGAACGGAGCGATTTCGGAGGCTACGAATGGGGCTGAGGTTGGACCACTCTTGTGCACCGACCGTCCGGAGAAAGGACAGGCCGGACAAGGTCATGAATAACAAACATAAGACGAATGGTCTCCAACCTAATGGCGATGGCCTCCAACCCAATTGTATTAAACACATACTACAATACTACATGCGAAGTGCAACAAAAGTTTTTGCCACCATACAAATGTTGATATTGTTGGTTCATGCATCTTGACTACAATTTGCATTGTCGAGGTGGCGGGAGCTACAAAATGCATTCTCCACCTGAACATCCAGCCTGCTAAGTACAATTTGCCACATACAGGTGTAATACTTCGGCAAATCAAACAGTAGCGTCCTTGCTCCTAGTAGTAAGGCCAGGAGCCCCTAGTAGCGATGCCAAGGAGCCCCTAGTATCGTCCTTGCTCCTAGTAACATCATATTCGGGTGTCACACTGTCAGTAAAAAGACTCGCTGTCCGAACTGGTCAAGTGCTTTGACCATGCATGATCGGTCGATGTGCTACCTTGGAGGAGCAACCAATCTCTTTCCTGAACGATGTTTCGTCCCTACAAATTACATGAACCACCTAGCTCATTTTCATAGGGGAAATTCTAATGGGATACACACATATATATATATATCATATGATCACTATGGGGCATAATTATATAATGAATTAAGTTTGATATCGTATGCACTGGATGCCTCTATAGTATACGTTCATGGCGTGTTGTGTCCACACACACACACACTCTCCATCGCTGGTCATGCTGAAATGCCGGCGCCTGAACTGTCCAAAAAACACAGCAATTCTCTGATCTCATCCTCCTTGAGAACCTCTGCAGGCTGTGCTATCTCATGACAGTTCTACTTTCGCAGCTTCTTTTCCAATGTGTTGCAGGTTGGAGACCATCGCCATTAGGTTGGAGCCCATTCCTATTAGGGATTCGATATAACCCAATCAGTTCTCTATGCCAACCCACTCTGCATCTCCATTCCCTTCGCCTGCAAACTGCGCAGTTGAAGCTTTAAGCGTGGCACCGGAATGGTCCAGTCCTGGAGGAACCGAGTCTCGGTAGAAGTTACTAGTAACAAGTGCCACGCTAGTAGTAACAAGTGCCACGCTAGTAGTA